AATATTTGAGATTGGGTTAGTTGTTCTCCAGACTCTGCAAAAGTCTGTAAATTGACGCTGAAATCTTTTGATATAATAAACCTTTATAATCAAAGTACAGTGTCAGCGGATTTCTTATCAACACAGCATATCAGCATCGTTGTCTCGACACCACAGTATGTGTATGAAAACCATTATCAAGAGTTTTATTCATCCACCACAAAATCCAAGGTATGAATACTGTTGTGTGCATGTTTTGTTAATCATCTGTATAATTTAAATTTTTGGGATTCACAGACTTCACCCTCCTTACACCTCTGATGAATATAACAGGAAACCTGTTCGATCACCATGCACTGCAAAATCATTCTGGCTATGGATACGGAGAACATCAACACATTAACATCAACATGCCAGAGGATATACCCATTGGACTACTGGGATTTATTTTTTTATTTTTTTATTCTGCTTTGCCACTAAAATACTAATAAACACTGACAACTAAAATATTGTGTTATTGTTGTTATTGTTAAGTGTACTACTACTACTACTACTACTACTACTACTAATAATAATAATAATAATGGAGGGGAGAGTAGTTCAAAACCCCAAAAGGTTATCTGAGGATCCATTGATAGGGGTTCCCCCACAATTTCAATTTGAAGAACCCCTAAAGCAGGGGTGTCAAACTCATTTTAGCTCAGGGGCCACATGGAGGAAAATCTATTCCCAAGTGGGCCGGACCGGAAAAATCATGGTATATATAACTTAAAAACAACAACTTCAGATTGTTTTCTTTGTTTTAATACGATCAACATACAACATAAAGCTGGAGCCTGAGGACAGTGTGTCCAAAATAGTACAAGCACAACATCACTATTAATCATAAAACACGTCAAGTTTATTTGAAAATTCTAAAGAAAAAGAACACACAAACACACAATGCCTCAGTGATTAACAGAACTGTTTCACAGATCACAGAACTATATCAGGGTGTCATTTCTCAGGCATAAATGTAGATAAAAATAATGAAATCCTGTTCCCCAAAAAAGTGCAAGAACCACAGAGTCAAGAATAGGTTAAATATACAAATAAAATAAAAACAATTAAAAACAATAGCACATCAACATAAAAACATATAAACATAAAGCTGGAGCCTGAGGACAGTGTCCAAAAGCACAACATCACTATTAATCATAAAACACCTCAAGATATTTGATGTTCTGAGGACAAACACACAAACACACAATGCCTCAGTGATTCACAGAAGTATATCACAGATCACAGAACTATATCAGGGTGTCATTTCTCAGGCAGAAATGTAGATAAAAAGAATGAAATCCTGTTCCCCAAACAAGTGCAAGAACCACAGAGTCAAGAATAGGTTAAATATACAAATAACATAAAATCAATTAAAAACAATAGCACATCAACATAAAAACATATAAACATAAATCTGAAAGCGTTGCTCAAACTCCCGTAACAGTCCCGATATTTTATCTTTGAACCGCTTCATGTCTGCCACATGTTGGGTCGCGCACACATTTTTCAGACAGGGGAAGTGAGCTGCATCACCACCGGCAAGTTGCGTCTCCCACAATGACAGCTTCAACTTGAAAGAACGTATGCTGTCATAATACTGCGTGACAACTTTGTTGCTCCCTTGCAGCTGTTTGTTCAAGTTATTCAGGTGCTCTGTAACATCCACCATAAATGCAAGGTCCTGCATCCATTCTGCGGAATGAAATTCTAACACTGGTTTGCCCTTTTCTTCCATGAACTGTTCAATTTCTTCTCGTAAATCAAAGAAACGCCTCAGCACAGCACCTCGGCTTAACCATCTTACCTCAGTGTGGTATGGCAGGCCATAGATGTGGTCTTTCTCTCTGAGAAGGCTGTCAAACTGACGGTGATTCAGGCTTCTGGATCGGATGAAATTAACAGTTTGGATGACCACCTTCATGACGTTATCCATCTTTAATGACTTGCAACACAAAGCCTCCTGGTGCAAAATACAGTGAAAAGTCAAAAAATCACGTTCTCCATTTGCAGATTGCACTTTCTCTCTGAATTTTGTCACAACGCCTGCTTTTTTCCCGATCATTGAGGGCGCACCATCTGTAGCCAGGCTGACATCGCGGGACCAGTCCACTCCGACCCTGTCCAGCGCGCCGACGAGTGCGGTAAAAATATCAGCTGCTGTTGTTGTATCTGTCATCGGCACCAACTCCACGAACTCCTCGGTGACGGTCAATGTGTCATCAACTCCGCGGATGAAAATGGCCAGTTGTGCAACATCTGTAATGTCCGTGCTTTCATCAATTGCAACCGAAAACGCAATAAATGACTTTACTTTTTGCTTCAACTGGCTGTCCAAATCCACTGAAAGATCGGAAATCCTGTCTGCAACTGTGTTTCTTGTCAGGCTGATATTTGCAAAAGCCTGCCGCTTTTCAGGGCACACAATCTCCGCTGCCTTCATCATGCATGTTTTTACAAATTCACCCTCACTAAATGGTTTTGAAGCCACTGCGATTTCATTAGCAATGAGGTAGCTAGCTTTCACTGCAGCGTCACTGATGTCTCGGCTGTGAGTAAACACAGACTGCTGTTTCTTCAGACCCGCCAACAGTTCATTCACCTTCTCACATCTCCGCTGTCCTTGAAAGTTGTCATATTTGTCGGCATAAAGACTCACATAGTGGCGACGAAGGTTATATTCTTTCAGCACTGCAACATGCTCTGAACACACCAAACATACAGCTTTCCCATTCAATTCCGTGAATAAATAGGATGACCATTTTTCTTGGAACACTCTGCACTCTGCGTCCACTTTTCTCTTTTTTGACAGAGACATATTGGGGCAATGAGGGTGCCAAAGCACATAATGTTAAAAGTAGAAGCCGTAATAAATATCGCGGGCAAAACAAAGTAGCTCATTGGCTGCACGTGCTTGACCTACTTGCTCTGCCCCAGTATAAACAGTTTGCTTGCTTAACACAATTGCTATTGCGCCATCCAGTGGACGTAATTGGAACAGCAGTTTATTTTATAGAAAAATTGCAGCGCATTTTTATACTTTACAATTTTTTAAAATATTTTTTTTAATTATATTTTTTAATCATCTCGCGGGCCGGATTAAACCCGTTTGCGGGCCTGATCCGGCCCGCGGGCCGGACGTTTGACACCCCTGCCCTAAATGATCCTCCAGGAACCTTTACTTTTTAGAGTGTATGTGATGGTTTCTAAAGGCATGCACTGTAGCTCCCTCAACATTTATACACTATGAGCAATAATCATGTGGTCACCATCATAACAAATGGAGATTTCTTCAGGAAAGTCCCTGCCGCAAGTGTGTGTGTTCACACCATCTTTACCAGAAGGTCTGTCTCATGAGCTCAGATGAGCTGGTCTGTCTCATGTGCCTGCAAGGCAGAGAGGTCAGGGAAAGAGCAGGGGGCCATCTTAGGGTTGGAGACACTTAGCAGTGTAAGCCTATAAAAGGTGCAGAAAAACACAGAACACCTAAACAACTTTGGGAGTCATACACAAGGTAAATACTGTATATCTGATCACATAAACTGATGTGCAGATATGTATTCTACTAAGGCATTAAACTCTGAAATACTATCAGAAAAAAAAACTATGAACAAAAGTGGAACCTATACTTTGTAAAACTGCTAAGTCATTTGTCACACAGGCCTGGTTTACTAGACACAGATTAAGTCTAAACTTAGTTCAGGGCTAAAAAAGCATGCTCAAATTAATGGAGAATCTTCATTTAAAAAGCCTTCTAGTCCAGGACTAGGCTTGATGAATGTGTCTGAGAAGCTGGCTCCAAATATTGTTCTCTGCTGTGACACTCTGGCTCTATGGACTTTATAATTGAGCCAGGGTTGTTCATTTTCATGTGTTTGGGTGTATTTCATTTGGTGGTGTTGGGGATGGGTGAGTTTCATTTTGTTTGTGTCTATGGTGATTGGTCTATGACTCCCAATCGGAGGTAACGAGTGTCAGCTGTCGGCTCGTTATCTCTGATTGGGAGCCATATATATTCTGTGTGTTTTCTCCTTTGTTTTGTGGGTTATTGTTTCCGTGTTGCTGTTAGTCTGTATCAGTATTTGAACTTCACGTATCGTCATTTGTTGTTTTCTTCGTGGTTGCTTTAAATAATAAAGTCATCATGTTCACTCGCAACGCTGCGCATTGGTCCGCTCCTTCAGACGTTCGTGACATCTGCGTGTGCTTCCCATGACACAAAAGTAAACAATCTGGGCTCGTTCTATTTCTATGTTCTCACAATGAGTATTTTTCTTTAAAAAGAATTGGCACCATACCAAGACGTCTTTGTTTTTGTGATGACGTGGTGTTGAAGGAGTCAGGCGCAGGAGGGTAAGTCACAGAATAATAGGCTTTAATCTGCAAAATACAGGTTTACGCAGAAATGCGTCAAACACACTCTAGGGCACAAAACAGGCGCACTGTAAATACAAGGCACACGGGAAAATACTCGAGCTCCACTGAGCTTCACTAACCTCCACAATAAACAATCACCCACACAGACAAGGAAGCAGAGGGAACACTTATACAATGACTAATGAGGGAATAAGGACCAGGTGTGTGTGATTGAAGACAAGACAAATGGAGTGATGATAAATGGATCGGCAGTAGCTAGTAAGCCGGTGACGCCGAACGCCGAAACCTGCCCGAACAAGGAGGGGAGGCAGCCTCGGCGGAAGTCGTGACAGTTTTGGTAAATTGGGGTTTTGGCAAGGATACAAAATAAGATGCAATGACTTGTCCTTATTGTTTTTCGTAATGCAGGCACTGTGTGAGACATTGTCATCACAGGTCAAGGCTTAAAACACACTGACTGCATCCCAAATGGCACCCTGTTCTCTATATAGAGCACTATGTTTGACAAGGGCCCATAGGGCTCTGGGATGACGTTAGTTTGCCAATATCTTTGCAATTGTCTATGCTATAGAGTATTTTCTGGACTTGCACCAGAAAACCAAAGGCTTGACTGAAAATGGAACATTATACCGAGACAGTCAACAGATATGAATATGTTGTTTTTATTTGCTTGCTTGGACAAGTTATAAAATGAAAGCATCAATGGACAGACACTCTGTCTTTAAGTCCTGTTATAAAGGTCTCTTTTCAGTGACCTATATGCAGCTCTCTTCTAAGGACTCCTGAGGCTACCTGTGCCCTTCACAGGTGAAGATATAATGAACATACATGTACTAAAACATATTATATGGAATAAACACATATGTAATAAACATATTATAAACAATGACTAGCCATATTACTCATATAATGTGATATATTAGGGTGTGATGTATGAGACAGCAATGAAGTCATGCACGGATAAAGAAAATGTGTATACAATGTCACATTTATCCTTCTGCGCAGGAGAAGAAAGTCAGCTTATCAATTCTTTCACAGTGCAACAATCCCAATAAGCATCATAGTATTGTAGTGGATGCATCAGAATTGGGCACTGGGCAGGCAGACCAGTCGACAAGTTGTTGAATCATGTCCATTATTTGGTTGACAAGTGTAACGGGGCACGAGTGGTGCTTCCAACCTCTTTAGAATGTTTACGTTCCTGCATTCTGCAAAAGAGAAGAAGACAAGTAAAACTAGTTGAAGACATTGCTTTTTTAAGAGCATCTGTAGACCGTAGACTATCTCTCCTAAATGTTGATCATGAACCATGATCTGGCTAGCCTGGTCCCAGATCTGTTTGTGCTGTATTGCATAACAGCACAAACAGATCTGGGACCAGGCTATGATCTCGCTAATACAAGGCAATGGCAGCAATGCACTGCCATGGAATGTATTATTAAGTTATGGATTGTTATTACCTTCTGGTTGATCTCTCCACCAGAATCTTCACCAAACGGTTCTTTGGGTCCAGGCAGAGTTGACGTCCACTTTTGAGTCTGACACTGAAAATAATTAAAGGGATAGATGGTCCATAGATGGCTTTCAAGGTCAGGAATTAGGAACTATCCCTTTAATGCACTATCTTCTAGATGTGCACCAGTACCTTTGTTTTATCTCCCTTTGAGCAAATTATTAAACTTTTTGAAATCATAAGTTACTTTTCATGTTTTTAACACTTAGTCTGAAGATCACTGTCAAAACATTTAACCTGATGATAAACTATCGAGGTGTCGATTTATCATTTGAGGGACAACAACTTTTTTACATATTTTAAGGAGAAGATCATTGTCAAAATTGATCAATAATCATACCGGTTATTGATTATAAATGCTTAGTTATGTTGATTTATCAGTTGAGGGAGGGATATACTCACATGACTTCAGTCTTTGAACAGTGTGGGCGAGGAGAGAGGTGCCACACACTCTTCAAATCCCTGAACGGAATAAGACCAGCCTGCACTTTGGGGCAAAGGCAGCGTAGAACCAGTGGTTGCTTTATCCCTATAGAGAGAAAATAGAGGAAACCACAATGGGTTTGTCTTAAATCTCTTGGTTCAATTTCAGTGTTTATCTTGCATGTGTATGAATCTATGGTTACAGGTTAGGGCTAGATAGGGTAAGGGTTACTGCTGTAAACACAGTGTAACAATGAGTAGTAGTTACAACAGTTCTTAATCTGTATAAACATGGATTATAACTCAGTAATAAGAACAATGTCATGTAAAGAGTCACCAACACTACTGGAATATTGATTAGTTGCCAAAACTTAAAATGAATGTACCCAGGTTATAAATTCAATAAGGTAATAAACTATAATAAAATATTTAAAATAGTAGTAATTAATTAGTAATTAAGTATACAATATTAAGTGATGAATGGATGATTATTTACCTTCAGTTGTTGAGAAAATGGCCAGGAGGGTGAGCAGAATGATGGTTATGCTTGCAGTGTTCATGGTGATATACGTTTACATGCAACCCCGTGGACGACAGCTTTACTGTAGGTCTCTAATGGTCTCTAAGGATGATTCTGTTGTGGGACGAGCATGCAGTGGTCTTTTTGCTAACCAAGTGATTTAGCAAATAGAAGAAGAGCCGCCCATCTTCTACTTGAGCTTGGAATTCAATACAGGCTGTTTCATGTCAACCCAAAACCACTTTCTCTCAAGCTTTCGCTGTCTCTCGCTCTCGCTCTCACTGTCTCTTGCTTCCTCTCTCTGGATTTATTTGAAGACAGATATGATAAGATAAGAAAACTATTGTCATTTGGTGCCGTGGTTTACAGGGTAAACTTCTGCCACACCATCTCAACCTTTAGTGGCTGCCTGGCAAACTTACCAGGATTCATTGCAGTGTTTGTATTAGTTTAGTTATTCCTACCCATGCCTTTTGATGTATTGCTTACCATTTTCTTTTTTGGGGTAACTTCCTTACCTTAGTATGTTTGTATTTGATCTTGGTTGCTTTACTAAAATGATTTCCATGTATTATGATATTGTAGCAACCTTTAGCTACTATTGATTATATATTTGGGTTTCACCTTCTATTATAAGTTTGACTACAATGTATGTTATTTCCTTTGTTTGTAGAGCAACCATCTCAATCATACCATCTCAGCCTTACCATCAATTCATCTTCAATAAACCAGGCAACAGCCCTTTAAACTTCAACCTCCTCTTTGTGTTTTAATGGGCAAACCATCACGGCAGCTCCAACTCTTAACCAGCATTAGTTAACAGTAATACAGTCCTTCATTCAAGCCAAACTCTGAACAGTTTTTACACATCTGTGAGAACAATACTTTGGCATGCATGGTGCAGTTGTTCAGTTTCACTGCAACTCCTTGTCCACTTTGCTTTCCATGATTGGTCTCCTGTTCTGGACGAGATTAAAGGGCCAATTCTCGGAGTCTCAAGAGTAGGGATAGGTGTTTTCAGCAGCTTGTTTCTCTGGCTGTGATTTTCAACCAGTGTGAGTTTTTGTGATCACGTTGGTCTAACCAATAGGGCTGATGTCTGTTGCTTGTAGCAGAATGACCCTGTAGATCAGCAACCCTAAAGTCTGTTCACTCAGACGTCCTCTGGCAAGTGAGACGAGCAACGCTTCAAATGGATCTAGTTGTGTCCGATTATATTTGTTTGTCTGTAACATAGCATTATATACACTGAGTATACAAAACATTAAGAACACCTAATCTTTCCATGACATGGACTGACCAGGTGAATCCAGGTGAAAGCTATGATCCCTTATTGATGTCACATGTTAAATCCACTTCAGTCAGTGTAGATGAAGGGGAGGAGACTGGTTAAAGAAGGATTTTTAAGCATTTAGACAATTGAAACATGGATTGTGTATCTGTTAAATGATGTAAATGTAAATGTGCCATTCAGAGGGTGAATGGGAAAAACAAAAGATTTAAGTGCTTTTGAACATGTGGTATGATAGTAAGTGCCAGGCGCACCGGTTTGTGTCAAGAACTGCAAAGCTGCTGGGTTTTCCCACACACAGCAGTTTTCTGTGTGTATCAAGAATGGTCAACCACCCAAAGGACATCCAGCCAACTTGACACAACTGTGGGAAGCATTGGATTCAACATGGGCCAGCATCCCTGTGGAACGCTTTCCACACCTTGTAGAGTCCATGCCCTGACGAATTGAGGCTGTTCTGAGGGGTTCCTAATGTTTGTTATACTCACTGTATAGTGTTAGCCTCACTGTTGTACTGTGGGTGGTGAGAACTTGTGTTGTTTAACCCTGCAAGTATTTCCTGAAGAATTGGGGTCTGTTGTCCGTCACCAAAGTGTTAGAAGTTAGCATAGCATATGCACTATTTATTTGGACAGTAAAGCTAAATATTTTGGTTTGGCTCTATACTCCAGCATTTTGGATTTGAGATCAAATCACATTTTTATTGGTCACATGCGCCGAATACAACAGTTGTAGACTTTACAGTGAAACGCTTACTTACTGTCACACCCTGGCTCTGGGGACTCTATATGTTGAGCCAGGGTGTGTAGATTCTATGTGTTGTTGTTCTATGTTGGCCAGAGTGGTTCCCAATCAGAGGCAACGAGTGTCAGCTGTGGCTGGTTGTCTCTGATTGGGAGCCATATTTAGACAGGCTGTGTTCCCACAGGTGTTGTGGGATCTTGTTCCTTTTTGGTTTGTTTCCGTGTTGGTTGTTTAACCTAGGACGTCACGTTACTCGTTTATTTGTTTTTGTTCGTGTATTCACTTTGGAAAATAAAGTATGTTTGCTTTCAACGCTGCGCCTTGGTCTACTCCGTCTAACGATCGTGACACTTACGAGTGCGTTCCCAACAATGCAGAGTTAAAAAGTAAGATACATATTTGATAAATAAAAAAGGAGATAGTAACACAATAAAAACAATAATGAGGCTATGTACAAGAAGTACCAGTACTGAGTCAATGTTTCATATGTTTCAAATGTTTCATATGAAGCGACAGTACAGAATGTCACTTTTTATTTGAGGGTATTTAATATCTGTTTTACCGTTTAGAAATGTATCTCCCCCATTTGAAGGCATTATAAGTACTGTATTGGGACAAATTCACTTATAGTGTATTTAAGTAGTCAAAAGTTTAGTATTTGGTCCCATATTCCTAGCACACAATGACTACATCAAGCTTGTGACTATACAAACTTGGATACATTTGCAGTTTGTTTTGGTTGTGTTTCGGATTATGTTGTGCCCAATAAAAATGAATGGTAAATAATGTAATGTGTCATTTTAGAGTTACTTTTATTTTAAGTAAGAATATAATATGTTTCTGAACACGCCTACATTAATGTGGATGCTACCATGATTATGGATAATCACAAATTAATTGTGAATAATGATGAGTGAGAAAGTTAGAGAGGCATAAATATCATACCACCACAAAAATGTTAACCTCCCATTATTGGTAATGGTGAGAGGTTAGCATGTTTTGGGGGTATGATCTTTGTTGGAGTACAGAGCCAAATTAAAAGATTTAGCTTCACTGTCCAAATAAGTACATAGTGGAGTGAATGTATAGTATCGTGCTGTCCAGTAGAGTATGGTACACTACATGACCAAAAGAATGTGGACATCTCTTTCCAAAAAGCGAAGAAATGGAGTTGGTCCCCCCTTTGCTGCTTTAACAGCCTCCACTCTTCTGGTTTTCCACTAGATGTTGGAACATTGCTGCGGGGACTTGCTTCCATTCAGCCACAAGAACACTGATGTTGGGCGATTAGGCCTGGCTCGCACTCAGCGTTCCAATTAATCCCAAAGGTCTTCGACGGGGTTGAGGTCGGGCAGGTAGCGTTCTCCTGGCATCCGCCAAACCATATTCGTCCGTCGGACTGCCAGATGGTGAAGCATGATTCATCACTCGAGAGAACGCGTTTTCACTGCTCCAGAGTCCAATGGCGGCGAGTTTTACACCACTCCAGCAGACGCTTGGCATTGCGCATGGTGATTTTAGGCTTGTGTGCGGCTGCTCAGCCATGGAAACCAATTTCATGAAGCTCTTGACTAGCAGTTATTGTGCTGACATTGCTTCCAGAGGCAGTTTGGAACTCGGCAGTGAGAGTTGCAACTGAGGACAGACGATTTTTACTCGCTACGTGCTTCAGAACTCGGCGTTCCCCTTCTGTGAGATGTGTGGCCTACCACTTTGCGGCTAAGCCGTTGTTGCTCCTAGATGTTTCCACTTCACAATAACAGCACTTACAGTTAACTCTAGCAGGGCCGAAATTTGACGAACTGACTTGTTGGAAAGGTGGCATCCTATGACAGTGCTACGTTGAAATAAACATTTGACCAATAGACAAAATACAGACAAAGATATCTCACATGGGGCCTCCCGAGTGGCGCAGCGGTCTAAGGCTCTGCATCGCGGTGTCACTACAGACCCGGGTTCGACCGGGAGTCCCATAGGGCGGTGCACAATTGGCCCAGCGTCGTCCAGGTTAGGGGAGCTTTTGGCTGGGCGGGCTTTACTTGGCTCATCTTGTCCTTCTAGACCTGTCTGCTGCCTTTGATACTGTGAACCATCAGATCCTCCTCTCCACCCTCTCCGAGCTGGGCATCTCCGGCGCGGCTCACTCCTGGATTGCGTCCTACCTGACCGGTCGCTCCTACCAAGTGGCGTGGCGAGAAGCTGTCTCCGCACCACGTGCTCTCACCACTGGTGTCCCCCAGGGCTCAGTTCTAGGCCCTCTCCTTTTCTCCCTATACACCAAGTCACTTGGCTCTGTCATATCCTCACATGGCCTTTCCTATCATTGCTACGCTGACGATACACAACTAATCTTCTCCTTTCCCCCTTCTGATAACCAGGTGGCGAATTGCATCTCTGCATGTCTGGCAGACATATAAGTATGGATGACGGATCACCACCTCAAGCTGAACCCTGGCAAGACGGAGCTGCTCTTCCTCCCGGGGAAGGACTGCCCGTTCCATGATCTCGCCATCACGGTTGACAACTCCGCTGTGTCCTCCTCCCAGAGTGCGAAGAGCCTAGGCGTGACCCTGGACAACACCCTGTCGTTCTCCGCCAACATCAAGGCGGTGACCCGCTCCTGCAGGTTCATGCTCTACAACATTCGGAGAGTACGACCCTGCCTTACACAGGAAGCGGCACAGGTCCTAATCCAGGCACTTGTCATCTCCCGTCTGGACTACTGCAACTCGCTGTTGGCTTGGCCTCCCTGCCTGTGCCATTAAACCCCTACAACTCATCCAGAATGCCGCAGCCCGTCTGGTGTTCAACCTTCCCAAGTTCTCTCACGTCACCCCCCTCCTCCGCACACTCCACTGGCTTCCAGTTGAAGCTCGCATCCGCTACAAGACCATGGTGCTTGCCTATGGAGCAGTGAGGGGAACGGCACCTCTGTACCTTCAGGCTCTGATCAGTCCCTACACCCAAACGAGGGCATTGCGTTCATCCACCTCTGGCCTGCTGGCTCCCCTTCCTCTGCGGAAGCATAGCTCCCGCTCAGTCCAGTCAAAACTGTTCGCTGCTCTGGCACCC